AGGATGAGGTGGGCAGGGCATGTAGCATGAATGGGGGAGAAGGGGAATGCATATAGGATATTGGTGGGAAAGCCAGAAGGAATGAGGCCACCGGGAAGACCAAGGCATAGGTGGGCGGACCATATTAAAATGGATCGTAGAGAAATAGGATAGGATGGCAAGGATTGGATTGATCTGGCTCAGGATAGGAACCAATGGAGGGCTCTTATGAACATGCTAATGAACCTTCGGGTTCCATTAAATGCTGGGAAATTCTTGAGTAGCTGCAGATCTGGTTTCTCCTCAAGAAGGGTTCAGCTCCATAAGTAAGTAAGACAGATTGGTGTGGGATGAACATGGCCAGCATGGCCTAAATGCCACCCTCACCCCCACCCCAAAACAGATCAACTTCTTCAAAATTCCATCACAATTAATAACACAGCATTTTCAAACTCTGTAATGACTATAACTGGTGTCATAATTCTTAAACAGTTTTAGTTACATGGTTACATAACATGTTTAAACTACTGATTGCTAGATCACTGTTAATATTAAGTACTATTACTACTACTACATTATTATTAATGGTTGTATGATATAAACAAAAGATAATCAGAAATTTAATTTTACTTAAAAAAGAGAAGTTTGGAAAATGTTACACCCCTAAGTCATGCTGCAACAGGTGGCCACTAGGTTCACCTGTGCTGCTGCATTGGCCTTCCTGGCCAACTACATGAGATAACTTATTGGGGGAGGAGGGAGAAAAATAAACAGGAGACAGAACAAGAAGCAGAACTTATTGAAACGGTTCCATTTAATAACTTAACAACTGATCAGCTGCAGAGATTATATGGTATCAAATAAGAATGATAAATTCAGCAGGATAATGGAGTGGTCTTGGCATACTTTAAGGTACTAGAATGAAATTAAAAACTGAAGCTCCAAAATGTGATGCAGAAAACTAACCACTGCATCTGGAAAGGTTTTAAAATTTGAATTAAGAATAATCACAGTGAGACATACAGAGCCACTTATAAGTATATCCAATGTTGTAATCAGAATGACAAATATACATCAAAATTACATTCATAAAGCAGATTAAATTTGAGGAATGATTGCTGCTATTTAATTCTGAATCTTCTGTCTTCCAATTTCCTGCCCCTAAAGAATAAAAAGAAAAAAAAAAATAAGAACAACATAATCTTACCTGCTGTTTTGTATTGAGTGTGATAATTGAGGTCTGACATTAAGGGAAGAACACAGATTGCAGACATCTGACAATATGTCACTGAGGGGAATGGATATCTGAACTAAGAGGGAGGAAGTACCACAAGGATGGATAAATCTATGCAATAAGTCTCATAATAATGCATTAATGCAAAGGTATGTCTGTTTTGGGAATATACAGCATCTGAGTAACAAAAACCAAGACCCATACATGGAGTGGCTATCAAATAATGGGACTGATGCTCTAAAATCTGTTATTTATCTAATCACATAATGGAAATGGCATCACCTTCAAAGTGGTCCCCTCCCCAACCCCTACAAATCTCCATGCAAATTTTCCAGTGTTGGAAGCAACGCTGCAGGCCCCTTTCTGCTAGCTTCTTCATTAACTCTGTTGCCTTTGCCTTCACTGCATCTACAGACTCAAAACGGGTTCCTTTTAATGCAGATTTGAACTTTTGAAATAATAAAAAGTCACACAGGGTTAGGGCAGGTGAGTAGGGTGGATGTTCCAACACACGGATCTTGTTCTTCACCAGAAATGTCTTGACAGACAGTGCATTGTGTGCCAGCATGCTGTCATGGTGAAGAATCCATGAGCCCTTCTTCCATATTTCAGGTCTTTTTCTTCTACCCCGTTCACAAAGGATTGTCGTAAACCTCCTTATACTAGACCTGGTTAACGATCTGACCTTCAGGCACCCAATCAATGTGAACAATCCCTTGGATATCGAAAAAAGAAAGATCAACATTGCTTTGAAATTTGACTTGCTCTTCTGTGCTTCCAATGCATGGATTGGCACTCAGTTTCCTGGTCATACTGAAAAAACGATGGTTCATCACAAGTTATTACATTTCATAAAATATTAGGATAATTTTCAGTGTCTTGAAGGATGTCAGCACAAATGTTCCTTCAAGTTTCCTCTTGCTCAGGAGTGAGGATTCTCGGCACCATTGTTGAGCATACTTTTTTCATGTTAAAATGTTCATGTAAAATCTGTATATTTCTGTAGCGAATTTTCCAAGTTTTGCGAGAAATTTCACTTTGACACGTTGCTCTACTTTAACACTTAACATAATTCCAGTGGAGCTTAGAGACCTGGTCCGGTGCAAACGAAGGCTGCTACCACACTGTTGGCTGTATGGCATTGGAAGGCATAAGGTTAATGGAGAGGAGAGGACAGGCTAATATGCCATTCACTCACTGTTGCCAAGGCCACAGGGAGTCGGCAAAAAAAAAAATCAGTCCGGTTATTTTATAGCCGTTCCACGTATAGAGGAAGTGGAGAAAACGATGGAAACACTAAAAACTTGAGGAATATACTTTGTGCTGGCTACATTGAAAGAACTTCAGTTGGCATCACTGAATGTTCTTCCATTTGTTTATAGTCTGTTGTGCTTGTGTCAGTGCATTAATGAGTGTGTTGAGTGACAGTCCATGTGAAAGAATAGGAAAATGGGAGACTTGTCTGGTTTTTGAAAGAGAGCAGATGGTTGGTGCACATTTAGCTCAAGCATCTGAGCAAAAACTACCACATTATTAGGTGTACCGAGAGCGACTGTTTCTAAGGTTATGTCAGCATACATGAATCATGGGAAAACAACATCAGCGAAGAGGAACACTGAGTGAAAATCAACATTAACAGAAAGAGTTTGTCATACATTGAGAAGGTAAGGTAAAGTTGTACCTGTGCTCAATGAATGCCATGAAGGCATACGGGGGAGTAGAAGTATAGATCCACATTTTCTTGACCTCGGCACTAGCTGGAGGTGAGTGGTCATATTCATGCTCAGGCCGCTGTACCCCCAGGGAAAGAGCCTCCTCTACCCATTGGATAGAAGGTTGGGTGGACCCCAGAGCTGATCTGGATGATTTGGGAAGAGAAAATTCTTGACCTTACCAGGACTCAAGCTCAGACCCTTCAGTCGTCCAGCTGGTAGCCAGTCACTATACCGAATGTTACCATGGCTTGTTTAAAAAATCACAGAACTACTGCAGCACAGGTGACAGGACAGCAGAACTGAATATTCATCTTGAAGACCCTGTTTCCACAAAAAATGTCTGATGCAAGCTTCACAAATCCAGCACCCACAGAAGGGCTGCAACTGCTAAACCTCTGATTACTGAAAGTAATACTCAGATGTGTAAACGATGGTGTCACAACCATAAAACATGGACATCAAACAATTGGAAATGCGTGCATGACATGGTCAGATGAATTGTCCTTCATGCTACAGTAGGAAGAGTTTACATTTTGAGAACAACTAAGGAAGCCTACAATACTGAATGACTGGTTCCAACAGTGAAACATGGTAGAGGTTCTGTCATGGTTTGGGCAGCAATATCATGGTATAGTGTTCTGCTGGTCCTATTATTACCTTTCATGGCTGTATTAATGCAAGGGAATATGTGGACAGGTTGGATAATCAAGTGCATCCCATGATCCAGATGTTATTTCTGAACAACGATGCACTTTTCCAAGATAACAATGTTCCCATTCACACAGCTGGAACTGTTCATTCATGGCTTGAAGAGCATGAAGGTCAACTTCATCATCTTCCCAAGCCAGCATAATCACCTGTCAGTTTTGGAGACTAGCGTTAGGAACAGATTCCCACCTCCAACATCACTAAAGCAACCTGAAGATGTTCTTCAAGAAGAATGGTATAAAATCCACTATGAGCTGCTCAAAACTTGTATGAGTCCATTCCAAGAAGGACTGCAGCCATATTGAAGGCAAAATGTGGTACAACAGCGTATTAATAAAGAAATGTGTACAGTGTCTGTAGTGTTTCCATTGTTTTGTACAAATTCTGTACATCTGCAGCTTGTTTGAAGTCTGCTTTTAGTCTGCTCATGTCATGGGAATTTACTTACAGCCATTAGAACCAAGAGTCATTAATTTGCAATCAATTTATTTTTCCGTACAAGCTAAAATATACATTTCTAAGCATGCCCAAACATTAAGATAGGAAGCCATATAGGATGCCTGAAAGAAAAGTTGCATAAATTAACCCTGACACCAAATTAAGGTGAATGGTCAGTTTCATACTCTGGCAGCTTCACCACTTGGGGAGAAAAAAAAAACGGTACCCATTAGATTGGATACAGATGGTCATGATTGCAAAAAAGAAAAAACTCTCGCATTACCAAAAATTGACCCTGGCCATTCATCCTACAGCCAGTCACAGAATGAGTTATGACAAAGCTATTTCACCTTTTATATTTAAATATTAAGTTCTTATTCTTTACAGTAGGTTCACTAGAATGCCCTATGGATATTCAGAAAGACAAACAAAATCTTACCTGACAAGCAAACAAAATGACAGCTGAAAGACCTATCCAACTGTGCAACGTATACAGGTTTGGAATTGGTGGCTCCTTGAGGTTATGAGAATCAAATACTGCTACAAGACCAATGACGACAAGTATGAAGGCAATAACATGTATCAGCATATGTGCTACCTTCAATCGGCGCTTGCGATTGTTTCGAAATGCTCGGTAAATCATAATAGCTGAAAGAAAAACGTAATAAATTCATTACAACCTAATAATTCTTTATTATTAACAATGTAAATTAAACACATGCTTCTCACATTGATTTGCACCACAGGCCTTTGGACTTGTGATTTAGTTGACAGACCAGTAGCCTATATATATGTGCATTGCAATTTTTCTTTAATATTGATCCAATTAATCTCTGAACAGCTACCATGAAGCAAGCATATGCATTATGTGCCTGTCAACTGTAACCCCCTGATACTGCATTAAACACTGAGTCAGTCAGATCTGTCAAAATGCCATGTGAGAAGTAAGAAGATTTCACCATGAAATTCAAGATGTTAAAAATTCCAAATAAAAAAAAAACTATTCAAACAGTTGCAAAACAATTTAGACATACTGGGTCAGTTTGGACAAAAAGAACTTAATCATAATGCTGAGTGCCCACTGAAGAGAAATTTGATGAAATTACTACTATTATTATTATTATTATTATTATATTTTTGAAAATCCCTTAAAAGCCTTGCACAGGAAATCAAGGTTTACAGTTTCATGTTTCAAGTTCCAAGTATTTTCTGTTTCCGAAAAGGAACTTCAACACATGAATGTGAACATTTTATGGGGAGGAAAGGAATTTGTGCTGAGCAACATGGGTCATTTCTGGCATCTTCTGTGATATGGTTGGGTTTGTTTGTGATATGTTGACATATGAGCTTGTAAACTGTGCTATGGGCCCAAACATGTGCAGGACATCATCCTCATCTTACTACTCTAAGTGCATGGTGCAGAGCCTTTCTTGAAGAGCTAATAGTTTTTCAGCTGGTCCTCTTTTATTCTTAAAAAATTAGGGGCAAAAGTTAGGATCAAACCTGGAACTAGTTGAACATAAGATTTATATGCTAACCACTAGACCATTCTGCCCTGTCCCTGTGATCTAATGGCTAACTTTCACAGAAGTTTAGCATTAAATTGGTCCTGATATAAATCCCAAATTATTATGACTAATCTTGGAGAAAAGTGGAAATATATGTCAATACAATGGGAGTATGTTAGTATAATGAATATCAGTCACCTACATATTGGAACAGAGCCAATCCTGAAATAATCTGTATATCAAAATTACCAGATATGATGAACAATACACAACGTACTAATTGCAATGGGACAAATACAAAAATTGTCACATGCCATCAGAAACTAAAGCACATTTAATATTATTGAGACATGAAACAAGGAAAATTCTGAAGAAAATTGTGACTTACAATTTGCATACAAAAATATCATTCCGAACGTCATAAGGACAGGATGCCAGTTGAATTCAAGGTCAACATTGGAGCGCCATGCAAAACCTCCACGATAATGTCCAGCCCAAACAGTCACCAAGATAACAGTCAATGCTCCAACAGCTTGAGCTACACCAAAAGTCGTAATGAAGCCTTCAAGATTCTGCTGTGGGGCATCCATATCACCTATAACATAGATATGCACATTTGTATATAGGGCTAAAAAGAGGACACTGCTAAGAATCATCCTCTACTCAGTCCTATATAACATTCATATTTGTGAGATTCTGGCTTCAGATGGGAGGACAGTATTAAAAAGGATGTTAGAAAAATGGCTGTGGTAATATCAATACAATGTTTACAATGTTTAAGAACTGGAAATTCAAATGCAGTGACAAGAATAATCACATATTATTTTTATACAACTGTATTTTGAAAATTTCAACATCGATGGGAAGACAATATTAAAATAGATGTAACATAAATAGGTTGTGAAAGTGGGAACTTGATTTACAAGTGCCTCAAATAGGGTAAATTAGTGGACTTCTGAGAAGACGGTGACTGACCTATGGGTTCCATGAAAGCACAAGGTTTCTTCACCAGGTGAATAAATTTCAGCTGCTTAATTAAGATCCTATACAGTGTAATTAGAAATATGGTTAGTAAGTCATGTACATGTAGCCTTTACACACAGGAACTGTTTATTTAACAAATTTAAACCCTGATTTAACCCCAAACTTTCCCAGTATAATGACAACCTTGAATAATGATCATTGAGGTACGTGAAGTGAACTCCTTGGTACAATGCTGCCCTCCATACTGTCTCATTGACAAGACTACAAAGATTACCACTGCACTGAAAATGAAGAATGGTAGTGAAGTTGCCACATACACATCATTTCAAGAATGAATGCGGAGCACATTAATGAACACGGATACAGCTACAAGATATAAGAAGCCAAGGTCGGTCTAATGCTAAAAAGAAGGAGATATCAGTTCAAGGATAAATGACTGGCATTGGAACAGACCCTGATGCTGATGACAATAATGATTATTTGGTTGAGTCTTACAATATGTTAACCATAAAGGTAATTTGATACTTCTTAATTTTAAAAACAGATTGTTAGAAAATTCTACCAAACACCAGTCCAGTGGTCACTCCAGCTTTGAAAAGTACAAAACTGAATTCCCTGCTAGGGACTGGCTATCTGAAGTGTTCTGTGGTCTCTCTCAGACCATCTAAACACATTTCACTTCACAATAGACCATGATTACTTCCAAACACACTTTTTATTATATTTATTTCTATTCGTGTTACAGAAGTAACATTTTCCTTGTGCTCAATTAATTAATCACCATGCCATGAAGTCATATGTGGGAAGGGAGGTATAGCTCCACCGTTCTTGACCTCAGCACTACATGGAGGTGGCTGGTCAGCTTTGTACATCTGCTGCTTTATCCTCGGGAATGACCCCCCTACCATACCCATTGGACAGGAAGCTGGGCAGGCCCCAGGGCCGGTCTTGATACTGTAGAGAAGAGAAAAATCTCTTGCCCTTGCTCAGATCTGAACTGACTTCCCCAGCCACCCATCCTGTAGCTTGTTGCTATACCGAGCGAGCTATCCTGGCTCTGTTTATGTTACAGCCTATATCAATATTGAGGTATTTAATATATTGTCACGTGTTGGGTGTATGTCACGCGACAAGTAACTTCACGCCATATTGGATATAGTGAATTTATTGCACATTCGCTCTTACAATCACACAATTACTGCCACCGGCAGTATTACAAATACTTCTCCTGTAGTCACTGCCATGCACTCGATACGACCCGGCTCGGCAACTGCTAGACTGAAACTGAGAAGATACTCTCTCTCTAGTAACTCACTCACTCGTAACTGGCTCAGTCCTCACTCACTCGTAACTGGCTCAATCCTCACTCACTAATCACTCACTACTGAATAGTGTTCGCTACTCTGCACGGACAAACAGAAAACAGTTACGTGATGGGTACCGCTGTTGCCTGACGCCGTGTTTACCGATTGCCTAGCAACAGTCGTTGCACAAGCTTCCCTGTTGCGTGACGCCGTGTTTACCGGTGTTGCTAACAACGCTGTCGAGAGTTGTTTCATGCTGCATAACAACTGCGGTATCCCTTGGTAACAACACAGCCGCTCCTCTGCTACGTCACCGCGGGGAGGGGGTGTTTACCGAGCGTTGCGTACTGGTGGAAGGAGTGGGGGTATGTGACGTCACTCGAGGAAACGCAGAGTTCACGTGACCCAAACTTCCCGTTGCGCCATCCACGTCACAATATGATTCCATCATCAGAACAAATTTCAAATACTCTGACAAACTCTGATCATCACTAATGCAAATAAATGAACAGTCAAAATATTCCTACAATATGGCCCCACTTTACCAGATCCTTTACAGATGCCTTGAAACCTCTTTGAAGATGACTTCTTTTTACTTTCAGTTTTCCTGCAAAATTAAATAAATATGATATTAACAGGAATTAGGGTCCACGTATCTTCCTGGGGTGGTAAAGGATGACTAGCGCGCAAGGCTGACAACCTTACTGCCATCTGTGAGCCGACTGTCTAGAGAAAATGTGGGAGCTTCGACCTCTCATAACCCCATGGGCCTTCACGGCCTGCTACAGGGATGGCTCTACCTTCGTATTAACAAGAACTGAACGGCAGATTTTTGTTCAAACTTGAATGATGATGATTATGAGTCAGAAATTATACTATCATTGTTTTACAAGTTCTGCACACAGCATTACCTAATCCTTTGTTGTATAATAAAATATTCTCTTTATGATTTTCCTCAGTCCCTCCAGACAAATGCTGGGATAGTAACTTAATATCCGGTCTAGAAAACCGTGGGGATTCGTTGTGCTGACCACGCGACACCCTCTATCCACTAAAGTTGGCACTATCTTCGCCGACAAGTGACGGTCGCTCGGTCGATATAGTTTGCTTGCGGACTAAAGCCACGGAGTAACTTAATATTAGGACATGATCACTTCCTTCCAAATACCTTCTAATTCATTATTCACCGTCATTCAATAATTTGATGCTATACTGTCTGAGTTACAATTATCATCATTAAACAACTACAAAGAAATAAATAATCAACTCTTCCATTAATTGGTCCATTAATCAGTGAAAGTAAACAATTATTTAAACATATTTAATTGGTTATATTATATTTTATTAGTAAATTAAATCTTCCGCTTACTATGTCTAAAGCTTTCACTGACACTAAAATATGATTTTGAATATTTGTTCCACCTCAGATGTTTAGCACTATATATTACTACACCATACAACACTCCCATATGAGTATTATGCCTACATTTGAGACGTCATTCTCACATGCACTCAGGTATGAAGCAACAGGCTGTCATGACCATCAGACTTGGAATGCATCCAAAAAGTCAGCTCAAATAAAACATATGGAATGAGGCACAACAGTATCTAACATATACACACCGTATGGAGTAACACTGACAAATAACACATCACAATTCTTAGTTGCCTGTTTTATACATTCATAAAACGGTGACAATCGTACTCTTACAAAAGCATGTATCTACAGTATGTCTTGAGTGAAAGAGATACCACCTGTGCACCTGATATACAAGAGAAAGAATGCTCACATTCATTCATGCCCCTCTTTGCTTTCTCCCACCTACCCACTCTATATGCTGTATTGATCTCATAGTAGACAGCTGTTCTCCCAGGGCTGGGCCCTGGGACAATAAAAATATAGAGGCCCCTATCCATAACAACAAATTTCAGTTATGATAACTTTTTTTTGGTTCATATTTCTTACGATAACTAAAAATGTAAACTAACATTTATGTGATTTTACACAAGCAAAGGCTTCATTAAAATACGCGAATTCTCTCTCTCTCTCTCTCTTTTTTTTTTTGGAGGCTCTGGGGCGAAGGCCTCGGTAGCATTCCCCCCCCCAAATATGGTCCTGTGTTCTCAAATGTAAGAGTGGTATATGTCAAGTGTTTCTGCTGAACACAATCGTCCACAGGAGGATTCTTGTTGAATATTGTCTCCTGTATTCTCTCGCAAGAGAGTTTCTATTGAATGTTGATTTCCAGGGATCGCTCTCAGGCAGGCTTCAGTCGATCCTTGATCATCTGTAACCAGTCTGGGATGGATCTCTATCGAACCTTAATGTTACTAAAGTGCTCTTGGAGCGGTTTAAATTGACCCTGTAATCACTCCCGTGAGGGTTTCTGTTGAACCTTCCTTACACACTTGAGGATCTGTTAACATTCGTATTATTAGTCGTGTCTGTTCACAGACGGAAAAGATGAAAGATGTGGTATAAATATCTTATAGTATCGCTATTTGGGGCACGCGGTAGCGTAGTTAGTTGAGGCACTATTCTACAAACCGGAAGGTCGTGGGTTCTATTCCCGATGAGATAATTGGATTTTTCAACTGACCTAATTCTTCCAGCCACACTATGACTCTGGGGCCGACTCAGCCTCTAACATAAATGAGTACTAGGAATTTTCCTGGGGGTAAAGGGCGGCCGGTGCGTAAGGCTGACCTCACCGCATCTGTGAGCTGATTGCCTGGAAAATGTAGGATCCTCGACGTCTCACAACCCTATGGGCCTCCATGGCCCGTTACAGGGATGGCTTATCTTCTATTTCGACACTATTCACATCTTTTTGTGGTGCACCTTAAAAAAGCAGGGTCAAGCCATGATTTTTTACATGTTGTAATTGACATGTAGGAGCTACCATTACCTAATTCCTACCAAAATACGGCAGAACATTATTTTCTTTAGGAAAGAAATAACTACACGACAGAAAACATCTAAATGAAAATTGTTGCTCATTTGTCATCCATTCATTTGCATATGCAATAAAGCATGTTGTGCGATTTAATGAGAGCAGAAGAGAAATCTTTTCCTTAATCTAAAATATTGTGTTATGCCAGCTGAGACTGCGTCAATATATAGCAACAATTCATGCGAGCCTCACGCCTTTCATTAGAAGCTGTAACCGCGTGAAAATCGGATTGGAACCGGTCTGACTCTTCCCTTTCTGCTTCACCAATGCCAAAGTTTCATTCGGCATTGTTCAAGCTTGGGGGGTGAATAGTTTCAGGGGTGGCAAAGCGAACAATGGATCGATGATAATGAGAAGACGGAGGCAAAAATCTCACCACCCCAACGACGACAATTAAAACCCCATTTCGACTATTTAAATATCAGTATGGCCACGCCATAGCTCAAGCGGTTAGTCGCTGGCTTCCCACCGCGGCGGCCCGGGTTCGATCCCGGGTCTAGTCAAGTGGTATTTGTGGTGGACAAAGTGGCGCTGGGGCAGGTTTTCTCCCAGTACTTCGGTTTCCCCTGCCAATCTTTATTCCACCAATTGCTCCACAATTACCCTCACCTATCATCTGGGGCTGGTGCAATAGGCCAGAAGTGGCCGCAGTACAAGGGACTTAGTCCCACCCCACTAGCAATAAAATAAATAAATATCAGTATAATACTGCGCCTTTAAATTTTCGGAATGTATAATTATTCTGACCAACCAGTGGAAAAGAAATGCCTATGAAATTTCACTTCTGCTATCAGGGTAAATTCGCATTCACTACCGTAATATCTGAATGCTCAAGAGATTATTTTGGTATAGTTACAGGTATTTCTTGAAGAGTACCATATTCTTGGATACAATGCCGTGTGGCCCGTTGAAGGTCAGCCGATGTTTCGGACTATATCACTTCAATCTTCACGGTCGAAGAAACCGAGAAAGATACCATAGTGAAAGCAGGTGACAATCACTCAGCTTGCCACTTTCACGCTGGTATCTTGCTCGGCTTATTTGGCCCTGAACATGAAGGCGATGTTCTTCCGTAACGTTGGTTGACTTTCAAAGGACTGCACGGCGTTATATCCCAGAAGATGGTATTCTTCACAACCACCGATGTGAGAACCTCAAATCTTACATATTTATTTCTTAATTCACTTCACCATGTTGCATCAAGCGTTTCGGCTATATGGTGTCCAATAAGAAATGACACTGATTATGAATTGTGAGTCTGGAAACATAGGGCTACGAGAGGAAGCGAAAGGGGTCCATTTCAAACATGATCATATCTCTTGCTATAAAGAAACGGCTGAGGAAAGACTTCGAAAGCTTATGGGGACTGCCCGACTCCAGGTTAATTCTGGGACCGGGGACCGCTTCAATATTAAGCAGGTATTCCAACCAGTACAATATAAAGTAAAGTGACTGCTTATGGATCAGACGACCAGCGGGACAATCATATTTTTTCTGGCCACGATATTCAGACCAGCTCCAGGGTCATCTCAGTGTCTGAAACAGAAGATACCGTAGGCTAGTTGTTCGGGTGTAAAGCTGCTATCTTATATCCCTTCAACACCTTTATTACACTTACTTTATAGCTCGAGTGGCTTTACCCACACGCACCAAGAAAACCACGAGGAGAAGGGACTTTGAACGGAGTGCTCGAAGGAAATTTTACTGCGGTCGGAACAAACCTAATGCTTTAGTTTCTTATGAGATCGTGGGATGTTTCGGCTGCAGCACTTTATTATGACTCATCTAAACTTTGTTTAACGATGATTTTAAAACTTCCTATATTATTCATTCATCTGTAATCTCTCAAGACGACAGGTTCACAGTCTCTTCCAGAACAGTTCCTCCACTTGATGCGATCTTGAGCTTTTTCCTTCAAATGAAAATATCCTCTTCTGTCCCCAAGGTCATCCAGCATCTTCTTACGTCTTCTTCCTCGTCTTCTGGTCACTTCTATCCGCCCCTCTATCTTTCCTTCAATAACTTCTTTTAGAAGGCAGTTACCGCGTAAGATCCTATATTATACAGAATCAAAATTAGGATGATTTGTAATATATGTATAAGATAAGATCAACCGACTAAATATTCAGATTAGGCAGTTTCCGGGCAGAGATTCTAACCCAGAACCTTCCGAATATGAAGGACCGCAAACCGTAACGTCTATCACTTTATCGTGGTCAACTGGAAGTATAATTCCACTCTGGTCATCCCTGTGATATTAGCACAGAATTCTGAATCTCATTTCATCGTATGATATAGTATAAACTACGTATGTCATCATTCATCTCTTCTCCCTGCATCTGTAAAGCTGTGTTTCGGTTTTCTGCTTATTTATACTAGAAATGCATTATTCAGTAACAAGGGACCAACACAATATGTTGAGGAACCACGGTGCCACACCTGCTAGCTAGACTTCTCATGGTTACATGTCCATTATGTTTGGCTTCCAGTAACAACTGAAACACTGACAAGAAAGGAAAACAGAACTTCTGCTTTTAATTGTCGTAAAGTGGCCTCTCATCAGGGGGGACTTTCCAGGAGAGGTTACGGAATTTAATTTCGACGTATGTAAACAATTTCTTATCCACTTAAATATGACACACACATTTTTCTTCTCGAAACATCTTTCGAAAAACTAACTGCGCATTACATTCTGTAAGTGCAATTGGCTATATTAGGTATTTCATTGGAATCTGCCACAAAAATGTTATTTATTCGAAAGTGGAGTTAATTCTTTGGGAATTATTTTAAAGATGATGTGTACTGTATTTGGGGAAATTGGGAAATGAACCAAAGATAAGCTTGCGCACATTAAAAATAGCAAATATGCTGTTGACACAGGTGTACATAATTTCATCGCAGAATTTTTAAAATTTTACAAAATACTGCCATAAACAATGTCACTGAAACGGGCCGTCTTGTCGCGAGAGACATTTCCGGAAAGACAAGTGGGAGGAGACTGAACCCGTGAACGTCTCTGTAAATACGGTACTGAAACGTCTTCCTTGTAACAAGAAGGTAAAAATATTCAGGTATTCCCCATTTCGGAGTGCAGACCCCACAGAATCCCTAATACAATATTTGTTAATTCAAAAGAAATCGTCAAATATTACAATTTACTATTTTTATTAGAGCTCTTGTTTTCAGTTTAATCTGGTTTCTTGCATTACTTATTATTCTACCATGAAAATGGAAGCTAAATGTTCCTCCGAAACGTCGGTTGACTTTCAGTGGACTAAATGGCGTTATTTTCCAGAAGACACAACTCTTGAACACCAGGAAGTGACTTTTAGGCCACCGTATGAAGTAGAATTCTACGTTTAATGAAATAAATATTTGAAAATCGTTGGTGAAAAGAAAAGTTTTTTTTTAGAATGACGAAATTATTCCCCAAATTGAAGTCTAAATTCATGCGACAGGTCCCTCCTGAGATTTATAGCCTCACGATTTATGTGTGTGACTATAGACGGGGGTTTGGATTGGTGAACGGATTTATCGACCACTTATACATGACTCGGAACTACAAACAATCGCTAATCTCCATAATTCTCAAACCACCATAGCACCCGCTAAGCCTTTTCTAGCCTGTTTTGTCTTATCGGCCGTTACCTGGCAACAGCTTTTAACAGCGGAGGTTCTTCAACTACACCGAACAGGTCTTCCCTTTACTTTACGACTGGCAGTTTATCGCCAATCAGTTCGTCTTAGCGTCAATCTCCTTGAGACTCACGATTTTTTTTTAACTGAACCCTTGCGGTCACAGCCTTTATGTAACATCTCTGACA